GGAAAGAAAAATGAAATAAGAGTCCAAATTAGATAAACAAGATTTTAGCATGATGTTTTCTCACTCAACCATTCACAATTAAAGGAAAAAAAATGAAAATATTGAGAAAAGAAACAGAGTTAAAATTCCAGTAATATGGAAAAATAAAATAAAAAAATATGAACCTACACCATGCATAACATTAGATTTTGGACAAATTACAATAAGGCTGAAATAAGCTGAATCAAGTGGTGACTTTTAATTATTTAAAATCTTCTATAATTATATTATTTTGAAGTTAAATTAAAAAATCTCAAACCCTACTACCATAAACCTATGCCTTTAAAGCCTAAAAAAACCATTTGTACCACATTCTTCAAAAGAAATTATGTGTTCCAAAGTTCAGTCATCGAATGAGGAACAGGATAGGATAGCCTCATGACTGCTTCACTTTTAGATTGTACAATTCATTTACCATGCAATTATAAGTTTCCACTTTCCATGAATCTACAATCTAGATGCCCAAGAAGCTAAAGGTTGAGTGTTATAAAAGGGAATCACATTGGCTTCCCTCACTACTGTCAGTGCTGGAAACTTCATCAGTCATTGTGCTTGAGGAACAAATGAAAACACAAGAAAATGCAGATAAAACAAAACTAAGAGCCAAATCCTGAAGGACCTTAATATTTCTATAAAATAAATTAAATAATTCATACATGCATACACATATAGAAAGGCACACACTCTCAAACCCAGAAACATAAGTCTTATGCAATGCTATAAAGTTTAATCAAGCAACAAAATCTAACCATATGCAGGAGGATTTGCAATGATTGCATCTGCCTTAAATGCAATTGTAGAATCAGGATCTGGATCTCGGCAAGCTGGAAGCAAAGAGAATATAATTTCTTTTATCTGATTTCGTTGAATAGTTATCTCAGAAGGGCCTGAAGGCAAGAAGCCTTTATTTTTTACCATATCTGCTCAGAGAGAAAAAATATATATGTAAAAAAAAAGTACAATTGTCAACAAGTTAAATGGAAAATCCCTGATTGTATTCAACAACTAACTAAATTCAACTGTATTTTGTGTAGCCACCTTAAAATATTTTATGATTTGGGAAAATTTCAATAAATTATCTTTTCAAAAAGAATGAGATCACAATCAGGACTGGGTGTAAATAGCTATGCTAAACCAAATGACAAAATAAGGCATATATGTTTCATAGCATTAATTAAAGCACAGAACATATGTTTCATAACATAATTTGTTTGTCAATCTGTAGATAGTGTACTGTACATATGTAAAACAGAGGAAATAACTGATCAGAGAGTGGAAAGGTACACGGTTTGAACTGAAGATAATTCACAATTATGTATATTTTCTGCAAATATAGAAAAATTATACCAAAAAAAGACAATAAAATAAACATCTCCTTGATTTTGAGTCTCATTTCCCCTTTCTTTGACCCAACTATGCCAACCAAGAACATTGCTATCATTAACTAAGAAAATACAGATCAGAAGCACTTTGGAAGGAATTAACACTACCTAGGTAAATGGTTTAATTTACATTCAAAATACTCAAATTAATGAGAGATAATATTTTGCAGTTTAGCTCCTAACAAACTAGAAGTTGAATGGGGAGAAAATTGTCTTCTGAAACACTTTATCACAAAAAATGCAAGCTGTCAGATTGAACCTCACTTATAAAATTTAATTTTATATATTTCCATTCATAAAAAATAAAATGGATAACAGAATTAATAACTCAAAAAACAAACCCTGTATCATCCCCTTTAAGCAACTCAAAGAATGTGAATGTTGCTTAGGGCAAACCATCTAAATTCTAAACCCCACATTTTATAAGAAACTGTGTACAAAGAAACCTTAAAGGGTCAAGAAGGTTCAACAATCAGATATTTAGATGTGACACAAAAAACATCATGCATTTATAATAGATTGAATGCTTTTCACAAAGTTACCAATATGAATCACAGCTTGGAGATAAGTGACCACTTCAAAGAGACAAAAGTAAACAAAATCCATAAATGGTTAAACAAAAAAAGAATTATAAAAAATAGAAGATTAGATACATACACCCAGCAAGAACTTTTGGGTCTCCGCCTAGAGGAAAAAACTCCAACCCAGCAGTCAAGACAAACTCTTTAAAATTTGAATGAGTAGCCAGTCTAACACGATGACCATAATCCTGCATACACACATTCTAGTAAATAGAACACAAAATTTCACATGATAATTGCAAACAAAATTTTCATTCTAACACCAACCCCAAGAAGGGAACAATTACACACTACAGTATCTTGTATTATTTAAACTACTACCATAGCAGACAAATTCTCCTATAAATTCATTGGGTTCCTTCTGCAAAGCTAAGATGTCAGACAACCATTTTTGTATAGACATTATTAAGTAAGTACATTATCTTTTTCAACAAACCAATCAGCTTCATCAAAATCTATTCAAGCATTACAATCTTCATCCCATCCTTCAGTGTATCCCCCCCCTGCAAGAACAGCTGTTAAGTACAGCATTTTGCACAACTTGACCATTGGTATTTGGTAGAAGACATTGCAAAGTTCAGAAGCTACAATGTTCAGGAAACCCTAATGGAAGTATAATCAAGATCACAAGTCTAAAACTTGTAAGGAAAAGTTGTTTTCAACTCAATTCAGAAAAATGGTAAGTGCTACTGCATATGGTGACATTTTAATAACCTGAAGACGTTTTCCAATTGCAACAAATGGCTGTACATCTCCACGTGTGCCCACAATGAGCATTACTATTTGCAATGGTCGTATGTCCAGAAAGTCTGCATCAAGAGCCTCATCTTGATTAACTTCACTACCTGAATCTCTCAATCCACCATCAAGAGCTTCCGGCTCAACATCTCCTGGAACTTCAAATTCCACAGTTCCATCATCTTTCACAGTAGCTATTCTATTCAACAATTTAAGCTGCAAAGTTTCAAAAGTTTCAATAACATGCCCAGGAACATAATCTTGAGACAATTAAGTTATAGCAGCATCCATGAAACCATTCACCACAACTGCTGGCAATGGTAATGCCAACATTAAAATTTGAGACCAACAATAATAGTGACAATACTTTAGAAAAAGACAGAACCTAATAGTGCTGAACATTTTGGCATGCCCAATGGAAAGAATCATAAGGTACAGCATTCAAACAGATCTTATCACATGTCAACTAATTAGTAAAGGCAATAGCCACTTTTGAGATGGGTGGAGGGGAACAAGGACAAAACCTGTTCCATGAAAAACTTAAACAATGATGTCACAGAAATGTTTGCTTTTTCAATTGGGTAGTTACTTCCCAACCAACCCCCACTTTTTGATGCTCATACATTTCTTCCTTAGGCCTTGTTCCTTCTCATCCATTTACAGTAATAATTGTATTACCAACTTTAAAATAGTGATGAAACCAATTTTTGTAACTGGTTATATTTAGCCACAGAATCAAGACCTAGCCCTGCTAGGAGTTAACCTAACACCTGACAACTCACTAAGATTATTATTTTTTTCTTTTTTTGAGAAAACAACTCACTAAAATTATTATTTTTTTCTTTTTTTTTTTTGAGAAAACAACTCGCTATGATCATTAAATATTCATCAAAACAAACTCTGTTAAAAATAATATTAATCATTCAAAATCCATATTGAAGAGAAAAACTAGCATCAGTTCATTAGTTCATCCATAGAAACACTATGCATCACACAATCTTGAAAATTCCCTGATTATTATTATCTAAGCAATGATCAACCAAGCAGTTTCAATTAATCAAATCCCAGAAAACATTCATAGAATTAAAATGTTCATCATGTAAAATGGTTGATTGTGGTTTCTTGGGTGATGTAGTGACAGATAAAATTTGATCATTTGAAGCAATAGATGGCAATCATGCTTGTGGAGAGTAGCAAAATAGTGAAAAACAAATTAATAGAAACATATTTCATGGAGAATAGGAATATTAAAAACAATAGGTAATACCTTCTGTTGAGCAGGCATCTTATCATCAAAAAACCGGGCTGCCTCTTTGGTAAACACATTACGATGCCTCTGATGCTCTGTTTTTGATTTCTCCAATTTCTGATGACTTGAAGATGATTTGCCAGTATTAGAAATGTCCACCGGTAAAGCCTTTACCACATAGGAGTTTCTATGACTAGTGCCTAAAAAGCAAGATTCAGAAACATTGTAAATTTAAATCAAATTTGGTCCCTCACTGTATTTTGAATCTACAATTTTGATAATTTAATTCTTAAAAATCAGAAGGGTAACTAAAAATCATGGACAGCCATCTTTACTTCACATGGAAAGAAATTCAAGCTATTCCCCCTTTTAATCAACAGCCAACAATCCTTCTTTAATTCTCAGAAATGGAAGAAAGATAGTCCACATACAAAGCCAATCGATCACTTTCTTTTCTTTTCTTCCAAATTCAGGGAATGATAAATCATAATTCTCACTCCCCATCTCCTTTGCTTCCTTATCTTGCTATTTCCCCTTCCCGTACCTATTAGACATATTAATGCTTCCCTATCTTGTCTTCTTTCTGTTCAAAGGAGAAGGATCAGACTGAACTTCTTTTGTAACAAGAATTCCAACAATATTTAGTACAAATAACATTAAGTAGCGACGATCACTGTGGTCATTCTACTCTATCTCCACAATCATTAGCCTTAATCCAGTGAAAGAGAACGATGCTAGATCCCATAACCAATCAAATATCCTCAATGAAAACTAGCTAATTTAAGTTTATAAAATCACCGATCAATTGCAAATGAGATCAAGTTTGACTTCCCTCAGTATTTAAGCAAATAAGCAGCATGGATAAAATAAAACGTAAGCACTACAAGATCATGATACAGCTCTGACCCGCCTCCTTTCAAATTAGTATAAGTACAAGGCAAAATTTTTTAAGTGTTTCATGAATAACAAGCAAGCGAAATTCAGATCAAAATCCTACTCAAACTCAACTAAACTAAGCATGACATGAAAGATTTATAATCAAATGTTTCATGCTCTTACTCCTCTAGAAGCCAAAATCTCACTCACCTGAAGATTCAGCGCCACCGTCATTCACTGGACCGCCACCACCGCTGCCAGCACCAACATCAACGCCACTAGCCTCCGTGCTACTATCCAGCTCTCTGACCTCACTGCTGATTTCTTTCTCGATTCTGTCCGGCACTTCACCAGACAAGGAAGAACTAGAAGAGTAGCTCCCGCAATGCTCAGATGACACCGCCATCACCGACTCCAGTGAGCTCTCTGACTCGCCGCTGTGGTTCTCTTGTTGCCGATCCAGATCTGCTCAATTCCAAAAGAAAGTTCGTTTCGCGTGCTCCTCCCGGTGTTTGGATGCCGGGAAAAAGTAGAGAAAAGAGATTCCAGAAAAGAATCTTACGCTGGGAAAATTGCAAAGAAAGCTCCAGAAAGAGGAGAGAGAAAGAAGAAAAGAAACCACGTTCGATTGAGTGGGAAGAGAGGTTCTTCTCTGATTAAATGAGGGGATTGAGTACGGGACACGTAGTCTAATTAACTGTCGGAACTGGAGGGCTTTTTGGTCAATTCATGTCTTTACATCCTAAATTTGTGTGTCAATTTGGATTCCTCTCCCGTTATGTTACGCAACACTTTTCGCGGGGCCGGGATATTGCTTCCATTAAATTTTAAATCAATCAATTTAAATGTAATTTTATTAATTAAAAAAATAAATAATTTGATATTTAAAGTATTAAAATATTTAATAATTATTATTAAATTTGAGATACGTTGTATGAGAGTTAATTTTATTAAATTTATTATATAATTATTATTAAATATTTTAATATTTTTATTATTTAAATGTTTTTTTTTTAACATTTTTTATATAGGGCGAGTTCGAAATCTGCTCACGAGAGGGGAGTATACTTGTTCAATAACTAATGTCATTAGGTCTTTAGGGTCAGGTGCAATTTTTTTTATTAATTTATAATTTTTAAAAAAAATAAAAGTCAAAATGTCTTACTCCTTTTGTTCATTTTTAAAAAATTTAATTTGATTTTTTAATTTTTAAAATATGACTTTTAGATGAAAATTTAACAATTAAAATTTTAATTATTGTTAATATAAATTGTTAAATTTTCATCTAAAATTTATATTTTAAAAGTAAAAAAATAAAGTATATTTACTATAAAAATGAATGGAGAGAGTAATATTTTAAATATTAGGATTTTTTATGAAATTATTTTGATATTTTTAATAAATCTTTTTTATATATTAATTTATTAAGAATATTTAAATTATTTTATAAGAAATCATATCATTTTAATTATTAAAACGTCTTATTTTTAATAATTTTTTTAAATAGTTAGTTATAATGTTTAAAATACATATTTATAAATTAATTTTAATTTATTAAATATTCTGATAAAGATTAGAGATATATTTACACACAAATTTTACACATTGTATTTACACAAAATCTTAACTATTCATATTTTATTTTTAATAATTAAAATTTATTATAATTTTTAAGTAAAAAGGATAATTATTTTTAATAAGCATAATAAAGAATAAATAAATCTCAATTATTAAAAATAAAAAAACAATCAAAATTTTTTATAAATATAATATATAAAATTGATATGTAAATAAAGTTTTATTTTAAAAAAAATTGTAACAACTATAAAGTTGTGGGAGGTAGTATAAAGAAAACTCGAATGTTTGGAAAACTACTTTCATCAAATGAACAAGAAAGTTCCTTCTTTGACACAATGATTAGATTAATGCCTTGCATAGGAGTCAAGATCCTTGAGATCATCGAATAAGAGTAGAGCCCAGAACAAAAGAAAAGAGTAAACTTATTGGTCAAAACAGTATTTTCTAGTAATTTTTTTTATTTTAAGTCTTCTCTGCGGTTTGTTCGGTTTCATTTTTCTTCCCCATTTTATCCGCCTAATAGGGTTCAACGTTAACCAAAATACACCTATCCCTCAAGTACAGAGAGATTTAAAAAGACATAATCTAGTTTATTTATTTAAAAGTCTGTTCGATATCAATTTTTCACAAGGTGTTTATTTATTGATATCATTTTATTCATTTTTTTCCGTTTATTAGTATTTTTTTACTAAATATATTTTTATTTTTATTCTTTAATTAATAATATTATATCATTAATAATATTATATCATCAACCATTGTCATTGTAGTAACAAATTTTATTTAAAACATTTTTTTAAAATTAAGGCGTACGTGCACCATTTCCTGGCCAATGTTACGTTTTGCATCAATAAAAAAAATTCTAGCTCCTCCATTGGTGTTAAGATGTAAATACAATTATTCAGATTATATTTATAATTATTGTAAATATTTTATACTTTACAATATTCTCTTTATATACTTTATACATTAAAAGATTCTCTTTGTAAACACCTATATATAGACCATTGTACATATAATATTATTCAAGAAAGCAATAAACCTTTGTTCAAATATTTCTTCTCTTTTCCTATTTCTAACATGGTATCAGAACGATAAGTTACTAGTTCTTTTCCCTTATCATCGTTGTTTGGTTTTTGGAGTTGGATTTTCAATTTCATTTTAGATCTGAAACTTAGTTGTTGGGATCTCTTCTCCAATA